AAAACAAAAATGTTCCAAATTTGAACCAATCCCCCTTCACACTTCTGAGTCCGATATCTTTGAAATGTCCTTACCATTTGAACTCCTTGAAGGTAATTTCTTGATTTTTATCGAGAGTATTCTTAGGTAACTTCAGTTATCTATGATGTAATTAACTATAGGGGCTTGCCCTCATAGAAAGTTTTTTTTCGAACCCAACATAATATAAACTCTATTTAATTCCTTACATTAAATAGGGGAACTTGTCGGCCAACACATTGGTTTCGCAGACAAAACGGATGTCATAACTTTCTTTAGTTTATTTGATCGAGCCTCACCCTCAATTCTTGTGTTCATCCTTCGGGATAGATACAGGATTTGAGGTAAAACGCTCTTTCATTTAAACTATGAAAATTATGGGGTCAGTTTGACTTCATCTTTTTCAAAACTTAAATTTTTTTTAAAAAAAAACGTCCTTCCGAAGCGGGCAACGGGATTTCAATTCCGATGACCGACAGCTTCTTACGGGCAAACCCCACACCAAAAATAGTGCCGACACAACTCCTATTGAAAACTTCACAATTAACTAGATGTTCCGTCAACTTAGATCATCACTATCAGGTTATTTTCTAATTTTCTCATCGTGAATTGTAGGAATTTTTCTCGAGGAGGTTGATTAATAATGTTAGGTAAAACAAAAAACTCTATATTTTGAGAATAAATCATCCACTAGTTGATCATTAACAAAATGCTTATTAAATTTCTAACTTAAATGAAGATGATATTATATTATGGCACTATAGGTTTAGTCATGTCAAATTTCAATATTTAAAATTCTTGTTCATAAGTCCATTCTAGAAAAAAAAACTCAATGTGCATGAATTAATATATAATGGAGCCGGCTAGCATCGGTTCAACTTAACTAACGCTTGCGGTTCATTTTTGCAGAGGGGAAAAGAATGTGGAGGTAGAAATGCATAAGAAATAGTAGAAAGAGCAAGATAAAGTAAGTGGGTGATGAAAGGAGAACCAAGAAAGGAAATGTGTGAAAAGAGAAGAAAGCCTTGCCGATCGCAAACAAGAAAGACGACTAGCATGATGTGTTCAGAACCAAACCAGCTCGAGGAAGATCATTCTTGCAACAAAGTAGAGCACGAGTCGGGGTGGAGACGAGCGAGCCTATGCAAAAGAGGTCTAGCAAAAAGACTGGCATGGCGTTCTGGATCAAGTGACAAGTTGGGCTCGACTGGGTGATCATTTGAAAGCACGGAACGAGTCCAATCTTAAGATTCTTAGGTGTGGCAAGCAAAGAAAAAAAAGGTGAGATAAAGATAGAAATCTTGCATGAAGCCACTCATCCACCTAATCCATTCTCATCTCCTCATCTCAGCAACACTTTACTTTATGCTTCTCTTTTAAAGGCCAACATTTTGTGCCATAGAGCATTGCAGATCTCACCACTATCTTAGATAATTTTCAAGTATAAGCAGTACTTTTCTATCACACTAGGCCCGATGCATTCATCCACTTCAATCAACCAACTTGAATTCAATTAAGAATCGCCTCTATATTATAGAAGTCAAAAATTGACCCAATATGCCAACACAACTCGAATTCGACTCGAAAAATTTGGATAAGGGTTGACTCGAATATTTTTTGGGTTTATTATTCAGGTCAGGATCATGTTGAACCTAAAAACCCAAACATGATCCGAATGAGTACAAAATTTGTGTCAGATCAAGCTCAAGTTCTAGTAGTATTCAACCCGTTTATTATTTGTGTAGGGTTTGGGTTGACCCTATTCGGGTCGGGTCATTTTTGGGTTAGACCCCGAACCTAACCAGTTGTTCCGAATGGACAACCCTAATCTATATCACCATCACTTTGAATAATAAACCCAATATATCTAAAACGTTCACACCTTTTAATGCTTTTAGCACCTATAATTATAACTTTGCCTAAAATTACATTCTTTGTATTCAATTTTAGATCTATTCAAACAAAGGACTTTAGAATCCAATGTAAACCTCTATAATTCATTTTTTTTCCTAAACGCTTTCTCTAATCTTATCTGCAAGAAGCATAGCATCAACAAAAAGCATACACCAAGGTAAATTCTCCTGTAAATGTCCAATAAGAGCATCCATAACCAAAACAAAAAAGATATGGTCTTAAAGCCGATCACTGATGTAATCCAATTGAAATAAGGAAGTACTTGGTCAATTCTCCTGACTTAAACAAGTAGCAGCTCTACTATGCATATCTTTAATGACTTGAATATACGTCATATCAACACATTTCTTCTCTAGAACTCTCCAATGAACTTATCTTAGAACCTTATCGTAAGCATTTTCTAAGTCAATAAAAATAATATGTAGATCCTCCTTACTCTCTCGGTATTGCTTCATAAAAGCTCTCAATAAATGTATAGCTTCCATAGTAGATCTGCCCGTTATAAATCCAAACTGATTATGAGAATTCTCTGAATCATGTCTTAAGCTATGTTCAATTACCATCTCCCAGAATTACTTGAAAGTATGACACATCAAATTAATATATATCTATATGTTTATATATCAACATATATATATATATATATATAGAGAGAGAGAGAGAGAGAGATGTGTGTGTATTAAAACACCATATATGGCACTACGAATCTTCTAAAACAAAATCATAAAATGCACATCATCAATTTGTAGACATTGTAAGTAATTGGTATGAGGAGAAAATTCCAAGATAAAGAAACCCAATAATTATTTTATATGAAAGCACAGCTTACAAATTTTCCATTCTGAATTAAAATGAGAAAAAAAAAGTTTAAAATAGAAGAAATTTATGATATAAGTAGATACATACCTTGGCCACATAAAAATCAGCCAAGAGACCATTTCCTCCAAGTAATTCTCGACCAATAGATACAGTCTCTTTCGCTATCTTGGTAGTCCACGCCTGTACAACCAAAGCACATTATCAGCCACTAAAAAATCAACTCAAGCATATATTGGTATTATAAAACAAAAATTCGCAGCACTATCTATTGCTGTTATTAAACTCTAATAATTATAAAGGGTAAGACGGGAAAATCAGTTACCTTTGCTAGGCTGGAATGGCCAACTGTCATTTTTCCTGATTCATATAATTTACATAGTCGCCAACCAAGAAGCATCATTGCTTGTATGTTGCCCAACATTCGAACCAACTTTTCTTGTGTTAATTGAAATGCTGCAAGTGGAGCTCCAAACTGCTTCCTCTCACCAGCATACCTTAGTTTTTATTTTAAAACTTGCGTTGACGTTAATCATATAAAAAATATAATAAAATGAAGTAGGAGAAAAGTAGCATAGGGATGACTAAAATCATCCATGTTATACCTATGACACATGTCAAAAACCCCCATTGATATGCCGATTGCTTGCCATGAAACCATAATACGTGCAAAGGAAAGTATCTGCATTGCATGCAAAGCCATCAATGAAAAATACATATTATAATTTTTGTTCTTTTCGTTTTAATTTGAAGCTCTATCTTATCATGAATCAGTCTACAATATATTTTGAAGCTGATTTCCCAGAAATACATATTGTTAGCAGAAGAAAAGAGCTTATATAACACATAATTACATATATACCTTGTTTACTTCCTGAAAAGAATTGACTCCTGGCAACCAGTCTTCGTCAGGAACAAATACCTTATTGAAGAGAATATCTCCATTCTGAATAATTCTCAGTCCAATTTTGTTTTCTATTTTAGTGGCACTCAAGCCAGGAACATCTTTCTTCACAATAAAACTGAATAATCATAACAAACACACATTTTTTAAATTTTAACTTCTAAAAATGAATGCAGAAAAACTAATAATACAATTCACATTAGAATTACCCATTAATCTGATCTGTACTTTTGTTCCGAGCAAAGACAACAAAGACATCAGAAAAAGTGCAGTTTCCCACCCACCTCTTCTGTCCATTTAATTCCCACCCTCCACTGACCTATTTAATAATCCAATTCATCATTTATTATGGTATCATTATTGAAAATTTGAACTATCTTTCTCATATATATTTGTGATCAATTATGGATTTAGAATCCAGTGAGTAAAATATTTATCTTTATGAATTAATATAGAGTAATTAATAAACCTTTGTTGCACTGGTTTGCAAAGAGCTTGCATCACTACCATAATCTGGCTCAGTTAAGGCCTGAAACATAAAAATTAAATATTTTTTATTAGTAATATTTTAAGACAAGTTTGCAATAAACATTATAGAAATTTCATTGCTTACCCAACAAACAACAGTCTTTAGTTGCGCCAGTGAAGGCAGGTATTGCTGTTTCTGGAATTCTGATCCATAAAGAGCTATGTAATTTAAAAGGAGAGTTAATTAGTTTCTATATTTTTTTTTTTTATTTTGGTACGAACGTGCTTAACTATAGCGTTTTAGTATGCTCTATGAAATGAGATTATCACATTCTCATATAAAGACATGAATTGCATTTTAAGTAAATTCTTCTGTACTTGTAAAATAAAATAAAAAAAGATTAGCGAATGAAATAATTAACTTCCAGAAATATCTTTTTCACATAGGCATAAAAAATATTAATCAATTAAAACTTTAATATTTCCACATATACATCAAAAAAGTGTTGGCATGATTCTCAAAGAAATCCAACAGCCAACAAGAAAGATGACGTGACATTTCGGGACTCACCAGAGGCAGTTTGAGAATCTGAATTTACCCACGCGGCTACTGCTAGCCAAGAAGAATATAATACCATGGCGGATGAACATCGACTATCTTTCAAAGGGCCACTAGAGCTAACCCGCACGGACAAATCCCCCAGAATTCCTCATCTAGGTTGAGCGAATGATAGGAGCCACCCAAATCTTAGGCTCCTAGTCAACCTTCAGCCGTAGCCGCCCAAATAATGACCCGATCAGACGTCATCTCAGACTCCCGGCACATAGCCACTCGGATCACGATCCGACCAGCGCCATTTCAAGCTTCCGGTCATATAACTGTGTATTTTCCAAAAACTCTCACCATACCTACTGTACTCGGGGTACAAAAATGTAATCTTACAACCCTCATTCCTATAAATAAAAACTCATTTCATAAATAAAGGTTACGCGATTTTATTGTTCAATATTGTGCTCTCTCTGCTCTTTTTTTTTTTCCCTTTCATGCTTTATTCCATTGGTGTATCTCCCGGTCAGATTTGGATTCAACATTCTAAAAGGTGTGGTGAACATGGAGTCATGATCTCAACAATAAGAGGAGCGCAACAACGACAATAACAAGAGGAAACCCACAAAAGGGACATGACCAACACAGAATGTACCAAAGAGTTTGTGCAGCGAGAAATGCAGGAGTTAAGAATCCAAATAGTCCATATGTCGGGCCAAATTACAGAGGACCTGAGGGCGATCACAGTCCTAGGAGGTGAGTGGGCTTCTGAGGGCAGAACCATCCTCAAGAGGCGGCGCCGGTGCATAACACCAGAAGGATGAACCATGACCCAGAAAGGACCTAATATTCGCAGTACCAGGATAGTGTTATATCTACACGGGTGGATAAGCAGCGTTTCGGACCCACTGAGGCCTAATGTCAGTCGAAGAACCTCTTCTTTCTTCACATCTCAGAGGCGAAGCCCCTCGAGAAGTTTAAGCTCCCGGCGTTGAAGCCTAATAGTGGTCGGTCAGATGTCAACAAACACATTATCTCGTTAGAAGCAACAATGTGTCTACTCAAGCTCTCGGACACATTCCAATGTCGTCTGTTTTTCACCACCTTGAGATCATTGGCCTTGAGATGGTTCAACTCGCTTCTAACTAGAAGCATCAGCAGTTTTGCAGATTCTAGGAGAATTTTCCTAGTGCAGTTTGCAAGCACTCAGAAGCCCAAGAAGTGTGCCCAATCCTTATGGCAACTTAAACAAGGACCGCGTTCATACATCCTACGATTCCAGAGGGAGATGCTGAAGGTGAAAGATCTTTGATCTGATATAACGCATGTCACCCTAAAGCAGGGTCTGAGGTCCGAGAGGTTCCATTATGACCTCAATTTACATGAGCCACAGGATTTGGCTAAGTTGTTGGAAATGGCGAACAAACGCTTCATCATCGAAGAAAACATCTTCCAATCAAAACGGGCAGACCACCGAACATACACTTCATCGTTGCACAATAGAAGGTGGAAACTGAAGGAGAATCCCAAGGCATCCGTCCGACTACGGTACGAAGATAACCGACCCACTCGTGACAATTGGGGGTCGGGCCGAAGTAACCATCAAGGAGGTCATGCAAGAAGCCATGATCAGTGGCTAGCTCAGTATTATGAGAGACTGGCCTAGCATTATGAGCAACTATTTGATTAGTATGAGGGCCCTCGAGCCACTTTATTGAGGGTAGTAATGGTCGAGATTGTGCACGCCATCCAAGACAAGGAGTACTTCAAGCATGTGCTGCTGATGAGAGCCGGTCTTTTTTTCGAGACACGAGGAAGCATTGCAAGTACTATCAGGATCACGACTACGATACGGAGGAATGCATATACCTCCAGAACTTAATCAATGACCTGATCAAGGCCAAAAAGCTGAAGGAATTTAAAGCGACGGGGACCTCGAGCCAAAGGCACGATAAGGCCCCAGTAGTAGATGTCCCGGAAAGACCCCTCCAAACGAATATTGTCCACATCGTCAGAATAGTCACTGCTCTTTTTTGAGAAACAGAGTCATCCCAACGAGCCTACCATAAGAGGTATAGGACGGGAGAGATGTGTAAAGTCACGTCCTTGCAGAGGAGGGGGAGCTCCTCCCCACTACGTTCATCAATGAAGATTTAACCATCATGGAAAATCCCTACAATGATGTCTTTTTTGTAACAAGGATAATAAGCAATTTTCAGGTCAGGGTTATCCTTATCAACACCAACAGCTCAATGAACATCTTGTTCAAGTCGGTGTTTAATAAGCTCAATCTTTGAGTTGACCTGCTGGTAGCGTCGATCATACCCCTAATACAACTTTTCGAGAGAAATAAAGAAAGCCCTATGTGTGATGTAACTAGTGGTTGCCTCGAGAGAAGGCTTGAAGCAATTCACCGAGATGGAGGATTTCCTGATTGTGGACTCGCCGACCACCAACAACTCCATTTTTGGTCGCCCACTATTGAACTGTTTCAAGGTTGTGGTATCCACATACCACATGACTGTCGAGTTCCCAAGGGATGGATAGGTGATCACTATCTGAGGATAACAGAAGCAATACTGGGTCCGCTACATCTAAGTGATAAAAAGCATGCATTAGGTGCCACTAAACTTGCCAAACCGGAGGAAGGGGGTCTCGAGACCAGTGAGCAGCCCTAGAGCTTCCTATACCAATAAAAGCTGATAAATCTTTTCTAATAAGCAAAAAACTTTACTGCAAGGCATAGGGAGCTACCGATCCAAATTCTTAGAGATCATTGCGACGTCTTTGTTTGGTCCGTAACAGAGATATTAGGGATACCAGTAGACTTTGTCTGTCACCGCTTGAACAAGAGTAATGTTGTCCAACCGATAAAGTAGAGGATTAGAAACTCAGCGACAGCACTAGTTGGGCCCATCAAAGAAGAGGTACTAAAGCTGAAAGAGGCAGGCTACATCCGAGAGGCACAACACCCCACCTAAGTCTAGAACATCATCATGGTTCAAGAAGGCCAAAGGAAAGTTGCGAATGTGCGCAGATTTCATGAACCTGAATGTTGCTCGCTCGAAGGACAGCTACCCCTGCCGAGGATCAATGCCCTTGTAGATTTAACTATGGTTCATTTTGTGATAAGTTTCCTAGACGCCCACTCAAGGAATCACCAAATAAACATGCACATGGCCGATGCTGAGAAGACTACTTTCATAACTGTTGAGCATGTTCTATATTATAATGTAATGATCTGTGGGCTTAAAAACGCTGGGGCAAAATATCAGTGCTTGATGGATATGATATTTGTTAATCAAAAAGAAAAAAAATATTGAAGTCTAAGTGGATGATGTCATAATAAAAAGTGGAACAGCTGAACATATAAAAAATTTAAAGAAACATTACAAACTCTTAGAAAATATAATATGAAGCTAAATCCCCTAAATTGCTTATTCAAACCCTCAGCTGATAAACTTATAGGTTAGCTCCTAACTCCCGAATGTATAAAAGCCAACCCAAACCAAATTTAAGCGTTGATTAATATTTCATCCACCAGGAATACCTGGGAAGTACAAAAGTTGACCGGTCGAATTGCAGCCATCAACCAGTTCATCTCGAGGTGGGGTGACAAGTGCGCGACAAAATACTGACCAAAGGAAAATATGTTGAGATGTTCATATCTATTTTATATTGATTTTGATGATATTACACTTTAAATAAGAGTATTTTTGATGTTTTGTTGCAGGTATGATGAATTATGGTCATTGGAGCAAAAAGATGAAAAAACGGTGCAATTTGGAGCAAAAACGAGCAAGAAATGATATTTTGCCCTGTCACCTTTCGATAAGGCTTTGGATGCTTAATCACTAAGGGATAAGGCTAAAATGTGGTTATACTCATTAGCACCTGGCTCTATTAAAAATTGAGAGGAGTTAACTCAGAAATTTCTAACTAAGTATTTTCCACCTTCAAGGACTACTAAACTTAGAAAAGATATTATCTCATTTTGTCAGTATGAAGATGAATCAATATATGAAGCCTGAGAAATATTTAAGGAACTCCTAAGAAAGTGTCCACATCATGCTCTACCTGATTGGTTAATCATTCAAACTTTTTATAACGGGTTAGTAGAATCTCTCAGGTTTATAATTGATGCTGCTGCTGGTGGATCATTAATGTCAAAACCATTTAATGAAGCGTATGTGTTAATTGAAAATATGGCTGCAAACGAATTTCAATGGCCCTCTACAAGGGTAAATCCTAAAAAAGTAGCCAGTGTTCATGATTCAGATGTGATTACAATTCTTGCATCTCAAGTTACCGTAATATCAAGGAATTTGGACCAATTTGGAATGAACCAGCCTCAACTTCCAGTAAGTGAGGAAAGTTCAGGGCATATGATGGATTCTAACTTATCATATGATGCTTTAAATACCATAAATAACCCGTGCTCTAACTTTTACAACCCAGGTTGGGAGAACCATCCTAATTTTAACTGGAATCATATTACTGATGGTGGAAACCAAAAATGGGAAAATAATCATGCAAATCCTAATGGAAGTTGAAATAATCAGGGGAACACAAACTATAGACCTTCATATCCATCAAACTCTAAAAGTGATCAACAATTTGAGAATAAGAAGATGTCTATGGAAAAAGTGGTATTGCGAATGGGAAAAGAGTTGCAAAGTCAAAATGCTGCGATTAGAAACATCGAGAATCAATTGGGACAAATTGCTAATTCACCTAGCAATAGACCCCAAGGAACACTTCCTAGCAACATTGAAATCAACCCAAAAGAGAACACTAATGAACAAGTAGAAGCTGTCCAATTAAAAAGTGGAAGAAAGATAGAGGATGTGGTTAGAAAAGAGAAAGATGTTGTGAGAGAAACAAAGGAAGGATCATGAGCGGCCTCCTTAACAACTGCCCTTAACTCCTCTGACAATACCACTATAGCCGCAAGTTCCTGCCTCCGCCTGCACAAAAGAATCCCAGGCGGAAATCAACGACTTTGTCGACTTAACCTTAGAACGAATTACTCCCATCGTCTGACGCTTCTTCACTGGCAAGCCACCCTTATTCACTTGAGACCTCTCTGTAGGGAGGCCCGAAAGAGAGTCTGACGACCTCACTTTGGCTCTCATCTCTCGGCTACAAGAAGTTTCTCAGATTGCTAACTCTTGGAAGAAGCCCTCGCCCTCTGTTTCATGAACTGGAAAACCATTTTTCTGGCATCCTTGCCAAGCTTGGCCGATTTGGAAAGGCGGCTGCCTCCATGATCGCTAAGGAATAAGAGAGGGGAAACTCGATGAAAGAAAACAGAAGAGATAAGATGCACATTAAATAATCATGAATATTAACTTTTTGAAGATTAAGATTCTAATGTCACTATCAAGGATCAAAAAAATCGGGATACTTAAACATGTACATGAAAATGTGTCAGCACGAATCTCAAAGAAATCCAATAGCCAATAGGAAAGATGACATGGCAGTCCGGGACCCACCAAAGACAGTTCGAGAGTCTGTATTTACACGCTCGATCCCATGGCAGACATAAATCGAATATCCTTTCAAAGGGCCACTAGTGCTCGCCTCGAGCAGAAAAAGACCCCAGGATTCCTCATCCAGGCCAGGCGAATGATAGGAGCTGCCCGAATCTTAGACATACGGTCTGCACCTCCCGGTCAACCCTTCAACCATAACTGTTCAGATCATGTCTCAACCAGACGCCATCTCAGACTCTCAGTGTATAGTCGCACAGATCATGACTTAACCAGATGTCATTTCAAGATCTCGTTTGATGAATAAAGATTAAGTGATTTTATTGCTCATTACTATTCTCTCTCTGCTCTTTTTCCTCCTTTTCACACTTTATTCCTTATGTGTCTCTCAAACAAATTTGAATTTAACACAGTGTTACAATTATAAAAAAAAAAAATCATAAATTTACCAATTGTAAGCAATGCTACCGAAGAATGCACGAGTATAAAAGAGGAGCAGCTAGCATCAACTCTAGCAATTTCTGCTGTAGCAATAGCGTTGCCAGTAATTGAAAGGCCGGGACAACCATAACCCTGAAAAGTCATATATATATATATATATATATATATA